CAGAAAAGGAGCCAGCCTCTGGAAAAGGCAACCTGGAGCCCCAAAGGAGGAGTCGACACCCAAAAAAACGAACCGGAGCCCCAGAAAAGGAGCTGACCTGTGGGAAATTTGACCCGGAGCCCCAGAAGTGGAATTGGCACCCAGAAAAGCCAACCCAGAGCTCCAACAGAAGAGACAGCCCTTCGAAAAGCCGACCTGAAGCCCTAATGAAAGAGCCAGCCCCTGGAAAAGCCAACACAAAGCTCCCAAGGTGGAGCCAGACCTTGGTGACTTCATAGAATCACTAAGGTTGGAAGGGACCTTTAAGATCATCAAGTCCAACTGTCAACCTACCCTGACAAAACCACCTCTAAACCATGTCCCTAAGCACCACATCTACCCTTTTTTAAACACCTCCAGGGATGGTGAATCCACCCCCTCCCTGGGCAGCCTATTCCAATGTCTAATAACCCTGTTAGTGAAAAAATGTTTCCTAATATCCAGTCTAAACCTCCCTTGACATAACTTGAATCCATTTCCTCTCGTCCTATCACTTTTCACCAGGGAGAAGAGGTCAGCCCCCACCTCTCTACAACCCCCTTTCAGGTAGTTGTAGAGGGTGATAAGGTCTCCCCTCAGCCTCCTCCGGGCTAAACACCCCCAGTTCCCTCAGTCGTTCCTCATAAGGCTTGTCCTCCAGACCCCTCACCAGCTTTGTAGCCCTTCTCTGGACACGCTCCAACACCTCAATGTCCTTCTTGTCGTGAGGGGCCCAAAACTGAACACAGTACTCGAGGTGGGGCCTCACCAGCGCCGAGTACAGGGGGATGATCACTTCCCTAGTCCAGCTCACCGCGCTATTTCAACAGATTAACAAAGAGCACAGAAGAAAGCAGAGGAATTCCCTCACACCGAGGGATGGGACAGCAGCTGAGCTACGGAAGGACTCTGGGGAAACAGCTCAGCGCCAAATGCAGCGCGGCCTTTCAAAGCCGGAGCGATGGGAAGTCTTCCAGTCAGTATTAAGACTGATCAGTGCCGTTCTGAGCACGACAGTACACCCTCTGGCTGGCCCTGGGAAATGCCTCCTCCCTTCCTCACGGTGCTGCTGGGGGGACACCCCCCTGCCAGGCTGCCGCACGGGGCTGGGCCGTGACCAGAGCTGACGCGACGGATTCCCTCAACAGCCACAGCCCTCGCGCTGCTGCACACGCTGCTGGGTCGACAGAGCCGAAAGGGCAGGGTAAAACTCTGAAGAGAGCAATGAACAAGAAGGAACAAAGGTCAGTCATTCACTTTATGCTGAAAAGGTGCACGTATGCTTATAGATAGATAGATCTATCTCCAATAGAAACACTTACACTATAAAGGTATTTGACTTGCTTTTGGTACTAATTGAACTTGCACAGCTGTCAGTCGATACCATAAAACTATCCATCTCCAAAATGCACAGCTGTAATTTGACTCGGGGGGGGGGTTTGCGTGCCGCACGATTACCAGGGACATCTGGCCAGCTGCCCTGCCCAGGAGAGATGCTACTGAACCGCCCGGGAAACGCGCCACTGACAGCCAGATAGAAATTGAGACCTTCAGAGTACTCCGTCTAAAGATTGGCAATAAAACCCCACTATCATTCGGTTGCCTCTTTTTAAAAGTTTCTTTTTTTTACATTTTTTAAAAAAGTCCCTGTTTTTAAAGTTTTAGAACAAACACCTAACTGCCAAAGTACACCTAATACATTGTATACTACAGCCACTTGGCAGCTGCAGTTAAAACAACGCAAGTCAGTTTGTAAATTATATGATTTTAACATTTTTTAAAGTTCAGTTTAGGATAGAAAAATCGGCAAGATAAAAAATCCCCCACGTGGTTTTACTGGGGGGGGGGGCGGGGGAGCCACACGCGCAGGATCAGCTTCACCTACTCTGATTTCAGGGGTTGCCATTTCTGAAGCTTTAAACTGAAAACCGCCTCTTGACACTCAGCTACAGCAGAAGTCGTCCATAACGAGAACTACGCAAAAACGTAGTAATGCAAATTGCAAACCCACAGCAGCATCAGCAGCTTCAGAGATATTTAGACCTGAAACAAGGGAGAAAAATAAAACAGCTCAATCTCACACACAGGAAAGTGGCAGACAAAGAAAAGGGTCTGCCTGTTTTCTGTAAAGGCTGAGAATGTATTCTCCTTCCCTTCTGAATTCTGTCTCTTAGGCCTAAATATCACAGCACCACCGCAGCAGAGTGGTGAATGACAGCCCTGCTGCCAGACGCTTGTGGAGTGGGGCACACAGAGGGACCCGTTTTGCCACACACAACCCTGAATTTCCCGACAAGTTAAGTTTACTAAAAAGAGCCATCTGCAACATACTGCAAACAACATCTGGTAATAAAACTTTGATGATCAATTTAAACATCAGTTTCCACCATGTTTCATTCATTACATGGCTACTTGCATCCAGGTGCTCAAAAGTTAACTATACCGACACCAAAAACTAAGAAAAATTTAGTCATGCATAGAAAAATAAAAGGCTATTTCCAACTTGCCCATAAAATTAGTATGAACAAACAGAAGAGAAACACTGGACCCTAAAGAACGTAGCAGGCAGCACTTAATTTATTCAAGAGAAAAGTTGGCTCTTTTACCTAAAAGGAAGACATTGCTAACTACCCAGGCACCAATTCAGGAAGGAGGCACGCTCTGTTAACTGCAATTCTGCACCAGATTTTCCACGGTGGCTGCAGATTTGCCTTTTCTGCGGGTTTGATGCGGAGTACCTGTAGTGCCCCCGAACTCGCAAACGCTTCTCTCCGCTCCCCCAGCCCCATGCGTGCCACTACCTGAGCTTTGCACTTGGCCTCGTTGAACTTCCATAAAGGTTCACACGGGCCCATCTCTCCAGCCTGCGCAGGTCCCTCTGGATGGCATCTCTTCCCTCCAGCACCTCGACTGCTCCGCGCAGCTTTGGTGTCGTCAGCAAACTCGCTGAGGGCGCGCTCCATCCCAACATCTGTGTTGCCGACAAAGAGGAACGCCTGATCCGCTACTGGAAACGACAATAACACTTTTACCACAGCTCCGTGTGCATCGCACCACCGAGGCGAGGAGCCCCGCTGCCCTCCGGAGGACCCGTCACCCTGTCCCCGCGCGCTACCCCACCCCCCCACCCACACACCCCCACACACACACACCCCC